TCATCACATACGACTGCTTGGAGCATTGCTTCTATTGTTCCTTCGGGATTATCAACATTAGTGGATACTACGGCATCGTGAACTGAGGAATTAAAGAGATCAGAGGAATTGGTGAGAGCTACAATGTGATGATAAGCAAAAGGTGTGTCACATTCTGGAAGAGAGCACTCATATCCTTTTAGCTGTGAATTAGACGTAAATGGTAAGGTTGGCTTATCAACATATGTACCGAAACCAATTAAAAAATCTGATGAAACATTTCGAAGAGTAAGAGGTAGTTGTGGAGCCAATGCCTGAACAGTCGTGAGATCTGCTCTAAAGCTAGCTGATAGGTCCATCAATACATACACATCCAAAGGGAAATCCTCTGCAGCTTTAATGGAGACATTGAACGAAAGGGGCTCATTAACTCTTAGCCTAATATTGATATTCTGCAGTGAAATCTGATTTGTTTCATCAATGGGGAACTCGCTGTATTCCAATACTTCACTAGTGGGGACAAAGAAGTCTGCAGGAGAGCACTTAGAGCTAGATGCATTCTGACAGCCACCTTGAGTTGGAGTGAAACACCAGCCACACTGCAAGACAGTAATACAATCAGAGCATGTGAGAAGTTTAGTACAATCAGTGACTTGAGATAAAGCAGGACTAAAGAGAAGAAACGAGAGGAAGAAAGCAGAATACAACATCTTTGGACACTGCCCCACCCTACTGAGCTTTGTGGTGACAATGGCCAGCTATAGTCTATGCTAAAGGTCATCATTATGAATAAAATTAAAATCAATATTGACAGACAAATGCATAAAAACACACACACACAATGCAATGGACATGAATATGAGATTGTGAATGTCATTCATAAGTCAGTTTGCTGCCTCTGAACATAACGAGTAGTTAATTGAGGGGTCCCTGATAATCTTACTCTGTTACTTCTATCATCGCTGCTAGGAGGCTCGGGGCGACCGCGACTATAACTATGTGGCCCGCCGGATTTAGGAACCTTTCGATTAGACCGACTATCCTGCTCGGGGTATTGATACCTTTGCTGCAAGTCCCCACCTCCCAAGAGGCCGCCACTGTGCTGCTGCTCTATATGACGATGTTGCTTCTCTGGTATATCACGAGAGAGCTCGTCACGGGATCTGGACTTTAGTAAAGATTGCTGAAAGGAGGGTCTAGAGTAGTTTGGAACGGAAGAGGATGAGGATGGTCTGTGGTGATCTGACTTGGTGTCATTAGATAGGAGTCGTGCTGTTAAAGGAGGAGCGTACATTACCGGGACCACATCAGGAGTTGATGAAGAGAGTGAACTCTCTCTACTGTCATATCCTCCCATACCTCCTCCTCCTCCAATGTATACTGGAGTGTCCTGCAAGCGACGGACTTCTTGCTTGAGATGATGGACTTGGATATCTTTGTCTTTTGCCGAGCGCGACGGAATGTTCTCCAGGCTACTCAAGTGATGAGTGTGCTCTTCTATAAGGAGCCTTACTCTCTCTTCTTGCTCGGACGATACACGAGCTTTAGGAATCTTGGTATTAAAAGCTACGTCGGAGTTGTGCATGAGTGTCGGCGATTCGCATGATCCATGCAACTCGGGATGCCTTGGGTGCCATTGTGGTTGGAAAGGTTTGGGACTGCTTGAGTCGGAATGACAGTCCAAAGACGACCCTCTTATAATGGGCCCGAATTGAAACTCTGGGATATCAGATCCGATTGAAGTCGTGTCCCTTGGTATATTCTCACTGCTGACCCACGAAGAGCCAGTGGTAATGCTTTCAGTGCTAGTAACACGAATTGGTCTAGTATTATTGTTACTTCTGTCTCCCCAGTCTCTCTCTGGGATGTCACGAGAGCTTATCTCACAGGTAGCAAGCTGCTTCTTTAAATCGCTGGCATGTTGTTCCAGTGCACGTAGTCTGGTCTTTGCTTCAATCTCCTTCACTTCAATGTGGTGGAGCTCATTCTTCTTCTCAGCACTAAACCTCTCCCATTCCTTTAGCTTTCTTTTCTGGTCTCGCTGCCACCTCATTTCATCTTCATGACGCATGTAAGGCACAAAGTGACGACTCTGTGACTTAAAACGTGCTTCGGCTTGATTCAAACTCTGCTCCCCACGCTCTTTTGCAAACTGTAGCTCACGACATCTCTTCCTCTGCTCATTAATCATCTTCTTCACATACTCCAAATCTTGCTTGATCTTAGCCACTTGGAGTAATTTCTCGGGTTCGACTAACAAGTCTTCTTCATCCCCTTGCCCTTTACCCTCATACTGCTGCTCATTACCGGCAGGCCAAGCGTCACTAGCTGACTGCTGTGAGTCATCAACAGGAGCAGAACTTGGATCCAATTGATCCTTTCTTTCTTTTTGCTGTCTATAAAACAGCAATTGCATGCGTTGTTTCTCAAGCTCAATCTCGTCTACCTCAAGTCCCTGGAGTTGTAAGCCAATGCCAGCTTTCTTTCCTTTCTTGGGCAAGTGATCAAGGACAGATGAGACAGAGAGACCAGTTGAGCTCAGCTGAGTGTGGTACCCAACCTCCATGCTTAGTTTCTCTCTAGCTAGTGATGGATACGACTGGGACGTATCAACATCAGAGGTTTGGCCCGAAAGACTGTTAGAGAGCAACTCCTTGAAAGGAGTCTGAGAGTGACTCGTATTGGAGAGATCATCAGTATAACTACCATCGTTGAAACCACTCATAAACTCGGAGCGAGAACGAGATTGGTATTGCTGCTGCTGGCCTGGTAATAGCTGCTTTGATGAAGTAGGAGTCGTCATCTTACCATAAAGACCTCTTACAGGAACACTTTGATTATCAGAGACGTCAGAGCCTGAGGGAGTGGTCACACGATAGTGACTAACGGGAGGTTCGTCCTGTTCAGGTACATGTATTAACGATGACATGCTCTGACTGACTCCATGAGGCATCGATGAGCGATGGTAGCCAGATGGCCTTTGCTGAGATATTTCCCGTTGCTCTTGGAGCCATTTTGTCATGTGAGTAGGTAACTGAGGGACTACTGGTGAGTAAAGCTGTTGCTGGTGATGATAGTCATAAGACTGACGACTAGGAGTCTGTTGCTGGCGACGTAACTCTCTCCTAGCGGCTTTCATTGCATGCGAGCTTCCCTCCTTAGGCGGTGGAAAAACTAGAGGAAGAAATAAATTTACATACTTGCATGAGATCTGGTGTACAAGTACGTAATTGAAATGGCAATGGCCAATATCTTTAAAAATATTTAACAGAATTGGCTCAAAATTTCTACATAGCATAAGGATGTTAATATGTATCAAAAAATGTAGTAAAAATTGGGGGTGATTTCAGAGCCAATTTTTGGAAAAAACCATGGGCTATTATAGCCTTGGCCATTTTTTAGAAATTGGCATAATTCTTAAAATTGCCATAACTCAAAAAATTAAAGGCAGAATTGGCTCAAACTTTCTACACAGCATAAGGACATTAACATGCATCAAAAAACATAATAAAAATTAAGGGTGATTTTGGAGCCATTTTTCAGAAAAAACCATGGGCTATAGCCTTGGCCATTTTTCAGAAATTGGCATAATTCTTAAAATTGCCATAACTTTAAAAATTGAAGGCCGAATTGGCTCAAACTTTTTACATAGCATAAGGACATCAACATGTATCAAAAAATGTAATAAAAATTGGGCGTGATTTCGGAGCCATTTTTTGGAAAAAACCATGGGCTATAGCCTTGGGTATTTTTCAGAAAATGAAGCATTTTAAAAATGGCCATAACTTTAAAATTTTTAGTCGGAATCACCTCAAACTTTTTACATAGCATAAGGACATCAACATGTATCAAAAAATGTAATAAAAATTGGGAGTGATTTCGGAGCCATTTTTTGGAAAAAACCATGGGCCCAAAGTTTTTTAAAAATTGTCATATTTTATAAAATGACCATAACTGCATAACGTAAATGTATATTCTTACTTTCATTTTGACTTTGTGGCGGTAATTTGGTAGGTATCTGCGGCTGTGAATCGGACAAAGAGTGACCAGAAGTTGATACCACAATTGTTGCTTCACCATGGCTGCTGTGAAGAAGCTTCTCCACTCTAACAAATACAATATCATCATTACTCCACTACCAATACAAACTCACACTTCACTACCGAGACCAGTGATTGGTGTATTGTTAATTTGCAAGATCCGATCCCCAGGCTGAAGACGACCGTCCTATTAATATATTTTTATAAATTTAAAAAAGTCAAATAGAAATATAAATGCAGTACACATACACATATGTACATGTACATGTACCCAAGTCCCTTGATATCTGCCCTCAGCTTCACCTAATCAGATATATCAGTCCTCAAGTAATACAATACTTACATGTACATGTACATGTACATGTACATGTACATGTATATGCACACTGGACTACATGTAGATTGCAATCTTACTTCACTAGCGCTGCCATCTCTCAGGAGACTCTTGATAAAGTATTCACTGATTCCCCTCGAGTCCTAATCATAATTTAACTAACAAGAACACTCGCTAATGACTCATGTACTTTAAAGACAGAGAGATTAATTCCAAGCGACTTATTATTAGAGGCACTCAAAGTGACACTGATGATACTGCTCTCATTGCCATCAGGAATGTCCATTGAGGACTTTGGACGACATGCCTAGAAACAGAACACACGCATACATACAAGCATACTACACCACTGCCTAATGTAGACATGAACTTTAGACTTTGTGGTCATCAGCCAAAGTGTCAAAATAAATTTAATGAGCATGTCCATTTATGGCGTGTGTACATAAAACAAGAGATATCTTAATATAGCTACGGACAATAGGATAGAGTCATGACTTTATATCATCATCAATCATCACCAAATCTTGTTATCAGGCATGAACTAACAAACCTTTTGTTCGCTTGTGTAAGGAGAATAAGGGAAATTCCTTGGCAAAGTTTGACTCATCTGTGTGCCTGAAAAACAATAGAAACACTAACAATACAATACTGCCTGACTTTATTGACTTACTTGCTTGTGTGCTGAGAGGTGATTCCCTTTGCTTAGAGGTAGTGACGCGAGGTGGGATCCAACAACCCAGTGAATCCTTAGTTACTGTTAACTGACACAAACCTATAGTATTGTTTATAACAATGGAATCAGCACCCATGAGCCAAACTGACCAGAAACTATTGCTGTCTCAAGATACTCCTCCAGTCCGACTGGCACTCCCCTCATGGTGTCACAGGAGTAGCCATGCTCTGGTATGAGAAATGGAAGTTCAAGGTTAGGATCTTCTTGAAGATACACGTCTTGACCGTCAGCCAGAAGCTTCTGATCCACTTCATTATAAGCTACAAATAGGACCAAGAATAAAAGACTGAGATATTGTACACCACACACAAACCATTAGTTAGGAGCTTATCAACTAGCAAGGATGACAGAGACTCTTTTCCTTCGTTTTCTTCAATGTTATAAAGAAGTGCTTTCACTTGACACGAGTTCAGGGAATGAACGTTCAGATGATCCACATGCACATTCTTTAGATCATGAGACAATAGTTTTGCCGCCTAAACCGATTAAAGAGTAAAAGGACTAAAGATTGATTAGGCTGGGTACCTGATAAATGACAGCGAGGTGCTCGTCAGCTGGTAAATTGAGGCTCTCAGTCCTAGCCCAAGCTTTAAGCCTGTCAAGTCTACTCAGTAATAGGCTACCAATGCTTCTGGTGCAGTATCGTGGCTCCGTGACTAGCTTATTGAACAAACGCATTGAGATATACCGAAAGAGAAGATTAAATATAAGAATAGAGAGAGTCCTGTTGACTTTGCAGAGATGAAGGAGAGAGAGCGTCCCGCTAAGCGTTGACAACAGACTCTTGATTGTTATGATCCTGCTAGTTTTAGCTCCACCCTTCAACCAGTAGAGACTAGGGTGGGACGAAGCGTGAGAAATTGCAACAACATCAGGCTCCTGCGAAGAGACTTCTCTCTCTGGCTTGGACTGAGAAGGGGGGCTCACCTCTTCACTATCAACAGAATCACTTAAAAAGGCAGGCAAGTATAAACTAATCTCACGAATCTACAAAGTTACAGATAAGCATGTATACATGTATAAAGGAGCAGTGGCTCTTAAAATGACCATCTTACCATGCATTCAGTAAAGTGCTTGTAAGCCATGTGGATAATGCTTGTTAGCATGTTTTCGTACTCTTGGGCGTACATGTACAACTGGTAGTCGCGTCTTAGGAAATGTAAGAGCTCCGACGTGTTTGATAGCCAAAAGGCAAGTGGTCCGGCAATGTTCTTACTCTCCTAAAATTAAGAAAATATGTAATGAAGGAAAGAATGTTTACATAGTGCACCACACTCATTAATTATGTGACATTCAACAGACATGACTAGCATGCGAGAGAAGTAAACAACACAGTCGGGCTCACTTTGACGGCTCTCTTTAGAAGCGAGCAAGTTGATTTTAACATGTGGACGAGTGACGAGTGGTGATGATTTAGATCGACGCTGAACTTAGAGGAAAGATGATGCCTGGCTATCATGTATACGGCATAAGCTGGAGCCAATTTGAATTGAAGTCTAGATCCATCAATATTAGCAATGAGACACTGTAAGAGGTGGGTGGCATCAGACTGTAGGAACGAGACCGAAGCCGGAAGGACAGCTTGCCTACCGT